GCTCAGGCCACAGGCAAGAATGTGGACTGCCTGCAGGAGGCGCTGCAGCTGGCCACCTCCTTTGCCCAGCTCCACCTGGGAGATGTGAAGAACTGAGGGGAGGGGCGGCTTTCCCCGGGAAGCTTCTGCCCCTCATCCAGATGCAGCAGTCCAACTGGAAGCTCTCCATCTGCCACAAGGACATTTGAATCTGGGGACCTTTAAACAGCTCCATCCGTCCTTCTAACCCAGCAGTACTTGGAAGATACCTGGGAGCCATCCTGTGACTCTGTCCCTTTACATTTCTGCCCAGAGCCCCACACGTCAGCATCGTCTGTCCAGAACCACGACCCTGGGATTGCTATTTATCATCATCATGCTCATGCCTGCAAATACAGTTCTCTGTCAACCTGAGGCTTTTGGGTCTGCTTGTAGGAATCATTTTTGCTGCAGAGAATAAAAGGACCATGTGCAATATTTGATGATGCCATGTGATCTCTAACCCCTCCTCCCCCAGTTGCCTCCTGTTTGACAGCCCTTGGCTCCCTGGGTGTCTAGAATAAAAGCTGTGGCTCCAGCTGGCTCTAGGTTGCAGTCCTCACCAAGTCCAGCCCCAGACCCCTGAACTTTGGGAATTGTTTCTGGGGTGGCCTGAGGATGTTTGTGGAGGTAGAGGCAGAAGAGGTAGGGGAGATGGAGAGAGGCATTAACAATTCAGATGATCTATGGGGTTACTGGAAGCAGAGAAGCTCCTTTCTTACAACCTCTCTTACGAGAACCTCTTATTTCTTAGGCCTGTGTTCCTCCCCCTCCCTATGAAGCTGTCGGTGTGAGGTTGGTATGAGGTCAGACGTGTCCTCTGGTATAGGAGGTGTATCTAGGTGCGGCTGTTGCCTTCCCCCACTCCAGTGACTGCCTCCTCATTCCGCCTCCTTGACCAGTGAGGACAGAGACCCTGGCCGGGTCTAAAAACAGCTGAATTAGGACACAAGTGTGTGGGAAAATTAAAGATACCGCTTGCATATGACGGATGGGACTCATTTTCTGTCCTCGGTACAGCAGGCTGGACCTGCTGACAAGAGTAGAGAGGGAGGAGAGGCAGGGGTGAGAAGCTGTCCTCACTTGAGTGTGACAGAAATGGGCAGAGGGAGGGTGTTGGGGCCCTGGCTTCATGGAGCACTGCCCAGGGAGGAATGTTAGGGATACAAAGATGATTACACAGCCTGGTACCAGAAAGAGACATAAGTCCATTCATTCATTATCCATTCGTTCAACGCTTGTTCATGCCAGTCAGGGCACTCTGTACAGGACTGAACAGCATTTTCAATCCTTGCCCTTTTGGGCAAGGCAGTGAGGAACACAGAAAATAGTCACATAAATAAGTGCAAAATTAAAATAATTACAGGGAATTGAGTCCGATCTCTCTCTACTCCACAGCAAGACCCATTTGCAGCGGTCCCCATACCTATCACCATGTCACCCCTTGAATAAAGTCTGCTTTATCATCTTTATAAATACATGAATAAAAAATAATTACAACCTGCACAAGTTAAGTGAAAGGCAGACGACGTCTCGGGGCTTGCCCGCGCTGGCCGTTCTCCCTCCAGGTCGCCAGGGGGCAGTGTGGCCCCGCCGCTATCCCGGCAGCCCTCGCGCGGGCGTGCGGCTTTCAGCGGGCAGAAGAACCCTCGCGCGGGAGGGGGGTGACGGCGGAAGCGGCTCGCACGCAGGCGCCGCCATGCCCGGGGACCACCGG